AATCCCGTATGTTACATATAGTGTTTTCTGTGTGTGAATACAACGTGAGGTTGGTAACAAACAGAAAGTTATTTAATTTTCAAGAGAGCAATCAAATATTTGTACTTTTCTGTCGAAGAGGCTTTTCATGGTATTCGACAGTTTTGTATTAAGTAGTTGTCAAGGATAACGATTAAAATAGAAATAAGTACACGAATGTGCTATAAGTTACAGAATGGAAAAAATTCCAAGTAGCTATTCGAAAATGTATGTGTGAGTTGAGATTATATATCTGCAACCGGAAATAATTCCGTTCTTTTTATCGCCAATTCTACCACATACGAACTTTTTTTTTATTTAATATTTTCCCTGTTTTTTAGACTCGCATCTTGTAAACTTCAATCGTGGAATTAGATTATCATGATTTATAAGAATTGCGTATTATATTCGTTATCTATTTTGTTTTTTTTTCTTCTTAATTTTGTGTTTAATATATTCTCTTAATGTATGCTTTCAAAACTTTTCTAACCTTTTGTCCAATGAAGTATAACGATATTAGAGACCTTACGTCATTTTAATATTGCAAGGTTAATTAAAAAAAACACGGTGTATACATTAGGGTAGTTGTCAGCTGAATTCAATTCAAATTTTTGGTGTGCCGCCCTTTCAATCATTTCCAACTAATAAAAAAGAAATCTTCTGAACATTTCAGCCCTCTATCTTAACCGGAACTGGGAAGTGGTAATACAGATAATCTTAACTGTAATACTGATAAGAAAACATTTCATTCTATTTGAAAAGGACAGCTTTGAAAAATTGTACTTTCTTATTATATCTTATATTGAGCATAAAGAAGCCAGCCACAATCATTTTAAATAAATTGAGTTCATTTCAATCGAGTAATGATATATTTTATAGTTTCATTGATATGTAACTCGTCCACCCAATCAGATTTGTTCAGATTTAGAAATTGAATTCAGATAATCTCATGTTATTTGGCGACAAGAAATTTTACTGCAGGCCAGGAGTTTTTTTTCTCCGTCTAAATCATCCACTTCTCCATATTCATTCCTGATTTGATTTACAAATAGTTGATATGCAGTTGATAATCATAGATTAGAAATTCCATTCAAAGGAATATATTCCCACGAATCTGTTCACATTATGTATTAGTAATTGATTCTAAGTAGACAGCCGCAAATGATCACGTACAATTGGATTAAACATTGAACAGCAGCTGCTACATTAGATAAGAAAACCTTGAGTTTATTTCCTCATCCCTGAATTAGAAGAATTATAGTAAAAACATATAATATCAAAAATATATAACTCGGAGAGATCAGTAATGTTTGATATAATGCATATTTTGATTGAATAATGACGGCCTCAATGTAATTTTTATCAATCGAAAGCCTCCCGCACTTGCTCAGCATGGAATAGTACAAGTGGAGACACAAATCACAATTTGAGTGATGCAAATAATCTGAATGATTTATATAGTCACTAGAGTCTACTGTAATAGGTGTATGGAAAGCTTCTCATATAATTCATTGTCGTACCTAGATTCAAAATGGAGAGATACTCATTACTAACGGAAAATAAAACAAAATGAACGGTATCCTTGAGCCTATCTGAAGAGGATCAGTAAAATAAGTAACAAAGCCAAAACCATTATTAAAAGATACTCTTTTTTATTGAGAGAAAAAAAATTTTTCGACTCGAAAAAATGGTTATCCTGGAGAAAATTTTCTACGGTCAATGTTTAAGGATGTTTAAGCGCTCAAGGGAGTAACCGTGTCGGAAAATAAATTCAAAAAATTTGAATAAATCATTTAGGATGTAATGTATAGTATTTTTCACGCCGACGACGGAAAAAGTGAATCTGACGAATGCGGTCCGATGGTCCGAGCCGAAGGCGAGGATTATAAAGTGCATGAGAATCACTTTTTTGCCGTGGCTATGATGCTATTTTTTATCATTGTGGCCGAAAACGCGTTTTTATCTCAGCGATGTTGTCAATATTTTTAAATCGCAATGGCGGCAACTTTTTTTCAGATCTTTCCAGAAATTAAGCATGAAATTTCTCGTTTACGATGACACGTACCATAATACTGTTTACCTTATAATCTTTCTCGCCGACGATGGAATCTATGGTAGACGGAAAAAATATCCCCGGAAAAAATAGCCCACACATCCAAAACGTGTTAAAACCCACCCAATTTGATAGACCATAGGAAAATTAGAGCCCCTGAAAAAATAACAATGAAAAAAATAATTAAATTAGAAAATAAATAAATTTAGCGAGTTCTAACACGTTTTGAATGTGTGGGATATTTTTTCCATGGGATATTTTTTCCGGGATTCAGAGATATATCCTTCAAAATATTGCAACCAGTTTTTCTTTGCAAAGTTTAATTAATTTTAATTTTTTTCAACGAAATGAGGTTCTTTTCGACATGACCTAGATATACTGCAAAACAAATGTGAGACGATTTATTTATTAATTTTCCTCAAACCATAAATGCCATTTTTCCTCTGCAAATTGGTGAGCCCGATGAGCCCAGGTTGCCGGGCCCTGCCATAAACCACATTACAAATTTTAAACAAACGTTTACATTTGTTTAAAATTTGTTGTAACCCCGCGACGTAGTTTAGCTTTCACCTGCTTTACATTCATCACTTGAAAAATGACCATATTCGATTTAAACAATAATACTTAAATCAAGGAGAAGATAATAAATATCGTACAAATTGTAGATCAATATCTATTCCAAAAGCACTTAATTTAAAATTCCAAAACTTGCTCATGAGTTGTAAAACACTTAGCAGTAAAAAAAATTGAAGATCCTTTCACCAACGGTATTCTCAATAGATTATACTTCCAACAATCGTCTCATCGTTACTGCTAGCCAGAAAAATACTACCATCACATCATCACCATCAAGGTTTTCTGTGTATTCTGAGTATTTTTTTAAATGTTTAATCTTTAACATGGCAGCGAAAAAAAAAACATTCGTTTAACTTTCAAGATACACTGATGTATGACGCAATCAATAAATACTGAGAGGGAATGTAAAACGTCCAGTTTTATATTACAGACTTGCACTCCTGGATGATCATCAATCGTTACGAAGCAAAATTTTCTTCTCATTCTGTAGCGAGATTTCCACAGTCACGGACAGTTCTTCATGCAGTGTGAATAAAAGCGAGAAGAATTTACTTTCATGTTTTTGCTAACCTTATTTTGTTTTGAAATTGAACCCGAAAATTTACGCAATATTCTTTGATCAGCCAATCAGTTTGGTTCAGTTTAATTCGATTGCTTGTGATACAGTCAAATTCTTTCATTATGTTAGTAAGATTTATTTTACTGATGGGGTTGTGGATGGCGGAACTTAATGGGATTCCTGTGGATCCTGAAATGCCACCAGACAGTGGGAGGACCCTTTACGTAAGAAGTCTTCCTGGATATCCTGGTGTGAGGAGTGATCTGTATGAAGTTTATATGGAACCTTACTATTTTGTAAGTAAAATTAAATAAAAAATCTTGATTAATCCGAAATTTGGTTAGTCCTATATCCATTAATGTTATTTATATTATGTCGACTATTGATTGGAATCGTAAATCAAATTTTGAGATTTAATGATTGATTCACAAAATAATGGAGTATTTTCTATTGTGATCATCCATTAACTAATTATCTATTATCCCGAGTAGGAAAATTTTTTGAGGAACAAATAATCATTAATTGAAATGTAATATTAATAAAAATTTAAATTAATGAGGAGTTCTGGTGAGAAGATGAAGAAGCATTATGAAATAAGAAGGGCCAAATAAATGACGCGTCATTGAACTGAAAAATGTGATGAGCCATTTATATTAATTGTTTCTTTGGTGGAATTGTCTTCGTATAGTATTTTGCATACCCGAGCCTTGGAAAACAAGTCATCCTCGACCACATGTCAGATTACCTTCCGAATCGAAGACGATGATCACAAGTACGGGGGGAGGACAATATGTTTTATGTCATTGCGGCCGGTAAAACGCGATAGGCTGTAAAATTTCTCATTACGACTATTCAGAAATTCATTATTAGATCAACTATCAGATTAAAGAAACATATGAATGGATGTGTGTATTGAATTAACTTACTCGGGAGGATTAGAAGTTCGTAGGTTTCATTTAATTATTTTGGGGTATTATTCTCATTTGTTATAATTCATAATGATTAAAGTCCATTTACTCATCTCAATTATCTATATTTTAATAACTTTCCTGATACAACGAAAAGGGAAGAGCACCTGTACAAAATGTTTTGTGGTAAATAAGTATTCACTAAATAAAAATATGACTTTCTAGCTACGAGGGTCGAATTGTAGTTATTTATAATACATTTTTTTTTATAAATTTGTTTTACATATATACCCTTTCTGGTTTTTGTATTTTGTTCGCTTCTGGAAATCTCAGATTTTCTCTTCGGTCCTGTCGTACCTTCCTAACTGAATTAAATATCATAACACTACTTTAGAGAATCCCACGGTCAATTCCTGTTACTGAATCATGAAAATTGGAAAAAGTTTTCAGAAGAAAAAATGCCACCGCCAATAATAAAGTCTGAGAATTATGCTTACCATTATTTTTATAATTTTAAATTATATCTTCTTATGATAATTTAAAAAAAAACATTAAACAGTATCGAAAATTCACAAAGTCGCTCATATAATTTCATTATTAAATTTACATACTAATGCTAGGTTGGCCGAGCGGTCTAAGGCGCCAGATTTAAGCTCTGGTTCCCGCATGGGAGCGTGGGTTCGAACCCCACACTTAGCAATTTTTTTTAATTTTTCAATTGATAAAAACATCCTCATAAAATCCATTGTTAACATCGCACCAAATTTCTCAAAAAACACGTTTTCCGTATCCTGTCTATTTTTCTCTTCGTTTCCGGAATTTTCATTTATTTGAGGAAATAAAACAATGATCTCGTAACCAGAATGTTTAGTGAGTGCCAAATCAGAAAGATGACAAACAAAATGTCCTGAATTCACTTTTTTTCTCCACATAGTAATGTTGTTATAAACATTTTTTCCAATGAAACTCTCTTGTGAATCCTTGGCATATTTTACAATATATATATACGGAATGATCGGCTATGTACACAACAGCAGTGGTTTTATAGCTTCTTCTTTGGGGCTATTTATAAAGAAAGATAGTTAAACAAGTAGTACTTAGTTTATCGAATACAAGGCTGAATCTACTTGATAAAAAATGCATAATTAAAAAGAATAAGAATTGGTGATTCAGTTCCAGCTGAGTAGACTGAGGTATTGCTACAGTTGCGGTCAATCATCGAGCTTCGAGGAATCAATCCCTTTGATCAGTCGATAAAGCAGATAAAGCAGATTGAAGTTCGCCCCAGTCGAAATATCTCGAAACTCGTACGACTAATTCCCTATTGGCCAACTTGAACCGGAAAATTCAAATACGGTGCACGGATGCGCAGTAGATCTCGTAGTCTAATAAAGTAGTCAAGAAAGCGGGCATCTTGCTGAGTGCTGAGGGTGAAATTTATGCAAGTAGATATGTATTTTTAGAGCGAATTTCCATTGGAGATAAATTGATGGATAATGTTGATGAGGTATGGAGGGGTTTTAATTGAATTTAAAAATTTAATAATGTCAATTCGTAATCTGAATTTCAAAGGGTACCAAGTTTTCAAATATCCAAATTCGCCAATTAAAATTTATCCAAAAATCATTAAAATTTCGATATTTTGACAATGTTGGGGATTATATTGAAGATTGAGGCCCTAATTGGTGGTGATGGAAACCACGAGTCATTTTTCTAATTTGGTCAATTTTATTATTATATATATGTGAATGAAAAGTGATTTTTCCATATTTACCACAAGAATCAACCATTTTACAACAAAATGTAGATAGTATATAAAATCTTTTTGGAGGAAACTTTCTCAGATAACCTCCTTTATTAACGGTGTACACTGTTGGCTATAGGCCAACAATCTAGCATGAAACCTAAAGACAATAAATGGCGTATTACAGTATGTGAAATATAAAATAAAATACGAATTAATGTTTCAGGCCATAGGCACGAAAGCTATGGTGGATGTAAAAGCATACAATGAGAATGGGATGCCAGTTGAAGGGCCAATGGGAGTTCTCATGCTGGAGCAATTTCCGGAAGGAGTTCGGATCACTGGGAGTATCAAGGGTCTCAGTGAAGGACAACATGGCCTTCATGTTCATGAGAAAGGAGATATCAGCAAGGGATGCATGTCTGCTGGAGCCCATTACAATCCCTACATGGCAAGTCAGATGTCCATCTTAGCAATTACAAAAAGCATTCAAGTTGCAAAATTACTCCTCGTTTTATTCTTCATTAATTTTGATATGTAGAAATTGTTAAAAAAATTAGTGTAAATATTTTCACAGCATTATCACTTTTTAATATACAGTAAAGAATTTTTTTGATTTTGAAAATAAATAATAATTTTAGACACCTCATGGATCGCCAATGGATCCCCTTCGTCATGTTGGTGATCTTGGTAATATCGAAGTTGGGCCCGATGGCACAGCGCAGATCGACATGATGGATCATTATTTAACATTAACCGGTATACGTGGAGCAATTGGACGTACAATTGTAGTCCATGAGAAACCAGACGACCTTGGCAGAGGTAATACCGAGGACAGCATGAAAACTGGATCAGCGGGTGCTAGACTTGCGTGTGGCATTATTGGTTTCATGTAAACCCATCATTTATTTTCTTCACTATGATTACATTTTCTTATTTTTGTGAAAATCCTGTAATGATGAAATAAATTTCACATCAATTCAATGGCGTAAGCGAAGCTTAAAAATTTACAAACTAGACTCCTTAGTATTTTATTGATTCCATTGTTCATCAAACATTTAGCGATCTACTATCTGGTCAGTGAGATAATTTGTATTTACAAATTACAAATTACAAATTACAGTACAGATAATATTGACATTATTTGCAAAAAACGTTTCAGAAACAATCACCGATATACTGAAGTCAGCATAAGTTTTAACATTGATTTTAGGAGTGGGGGACATGTTTTTTTTTTTTTTTTTATATTCCGGCCCTTTCTGCCCTGTTGTGGCTAATTGGCCCTATCTCACCCTATGCATGCGGCTGTGGATCCTACACTGTACCGTATTCACTCTCCTATGGAACATAGGAGTGACATGGGAAACCACAGAAAAAACCATGTCGGTACAGACGGTTGCTCTATTAGCAACCTCCCGCTCATCGGTGCCTGTTGAAAAATTCGATTCAACGGGGAATCGCACTCACAACTTTCAGACGTCGGGGAGGGGGACATGGTTACAAGTGGTAACTACGTGGAGTGGGGGTACCCAGAGAAGTAACAATTTATGCTGACTTTAGTATAGCTTGAAAACTACTTAACCGATTGGTCTCAAATTCAGAAGAGGTCACGTCCATATTACCTCTGAATGTAATACAAACGTGGTCTCTAACTGTGACCTGTGAATTGACCATTTCCATTTCATTTTTTAAAACCAATTTACCTGTTCTATTCAAAACTTAAACAAGTTGTAGTAGTCCAATGTGAATGCTACGGAAAATTCATGAACATTTATCTCCAGTCAATGGCAAACTCCTGAAAAATACAAAATAAACGTCTGAAAAGTGCAAAATATACTTTTGAATTTGGATTTGATTTACAGTTTTCAAAAGTTTTTATAAAACTTAGGGTAAAATACTTAATCTGGTTGCTGGGATAAAAGTGGTCTGTTGGTACTTTTCAAAAGTAATTTCTTGATTGACCAGAAGGCATTCATTTCTAGAGTGTAGAAAAATTTAACTAACACATATATTTACTGGTTGATGAGATACTGGTGGTAGATGAACATGATCCCCTGAAGGATTCTGGCAAGTTTTCTCCTGCAGCACGACCATCTCCTCGATGGCTTGTCGCACCTTTATTACCAGTTCGGGTGGTGAACGCCGTCTTATTCCAGGCGCATCCGGTCGATGCTGGAGGGGCTCACATTGCTGTTGTTGCGACTCCGGTTCTTCTACCGGTATCCTGAAGATTTGCGGCTGAACATGAACTAGCGTCCATTGAACCATAGTAAATGAGAGAGCAGAAGTGAAAAAAATGAACAAAAAAAAGGAGTAGAGAGTAGGAAGACTGAATTTTGCAACGAAGGAAAGGACTCAAAGAGGATGTGAACATAAAAACTGGTGGAACAATTGATGGAATAACTAAAATTTAAATTTACGTAGTTGTGCTTAAGGATATTCAGGAGAATTGAGAATTTTTGTTCTGATCACCTTACCTTGTACGTCCTCGATCTCGAACGCATCTGATACGTTATCCAGGTCATTGAGATCGGAGCTGGCACGGATACAACCTCCCAAGTATGTCAGAAAATCCACTACAACCTTTTTCGATACCCTCCACATAATAAAGTATACAAAAACATTTTGTGATATTTTTTAATATTTATTAGATTTTTTATCAGGAGGCCCTTTTTTTCAATCAAATCATCATTAATTTAATGCACTAAGAATTTTGATATTTTTATTGCCAATCAAATGAAGTTGGTCAGCTACCGCCACGAACGTAATCACTTATGATTACAGGAGATGGTAATTTATCGACGAATGTCTATGATCGATCCAAGATCGCTGATAAAATTCCACAGTATAATCAGTGATCGTTATTTTTATAGTATAGTGGTAAGAGTGCCACATCAAAAGTCCAGAAATAGAGATTATTCGTCAATATACAGAAAATTAAGAGGAAAGGCGACACTGGGGCAAAAAGGCCTGGCGAGACACCGATTTCGTTTGAGTTAGTACTCCCGTATATCGAAGCAACGATGAGTTTTTTATGAAAATTGATATAGAGATAGACTTTAATGCAAAAATGACTCAGTTAACTCACTTCGGAAACACAGGCTGCAAGCCGTTGAGTAATGTTGTCAAGCCAAACTACCGGGCTAATTAAAGTCATCAGTACTCTAGCTTGATTCATGATGTACCGGGAGTACTACATTAAGGTACTTTATTTTTCTTTGAGGTTCCCGAAGGTACTCGATTTTGGAAAAAAACCTTATTTTTTCCCCCCGCAAAATAGAGAGATGGACTCATTTAATCGATTGTTGAAACGCATACCGATTGCAACTTTGGGGAGAGGACTGAAGGACTCCATTATAAAATGGCGCATTAATGACTCTGAAGTCTGCTATATCCTCACTCCGATTTGAAAAAAATCCTTATTATGAAAGCAGAGATAGGTAAATGAAGTTCGCCTGAGTCGAAACTCGTAAGGCTGATTCCCTATTGGTCAACTCGAATCCGAAGTCAAAATTCAAATTCGGCGCGCGGAGTGCGCAGTAGATCTCGTATTTAATTTAATTTTTCTCGCCGGCGATAGAATATCACACTTGGTTTTTGTTTCAAAAGTTTGAGTATTTAAACTACCCGTTATTTTGATAGAAGTAGACGCTACCACAATTCTTTCATAAGCGAATCGCTAACACATGTCGCTGTGAATAGTTTTCAGATATTAATTCCTTTGAATTGAAATTGAATTGAAAACTATACTCTTATGGTAATGTCCCATAGTCTCTAGGATTTCTTGGTGTTACCAACAGTTTCATATCCTACTCTAGTTCTGGCGCCACCGCTATAATATCTTCCTCTCTATCTCTGAAGAATATATATAAGAATGGGTCTATTCTCTTTGAATAAATCACCGCGTGTGCCTCTCATTTCTGGCTGTTTGAAATAATGTAAAGACCGATTCATTTAGTAGTGTGTTGGCAATTATTAAAAAATTTGGAAATAAGATGGCTGCAATCGGTGTTAACAGTGATATCCCACAGCTTCAGATCAGATTCGTCACCAAACAGGATCAGTAAGTGTAGAATTTGAGGCTGTTCGTCATTGTGAGGTTATAAAATCTTGTATTTATTTTTTAATCTTACATGAATTGTTGATCATTTCTTTCATCAATGTAATTCACGAGTAAAATGTTAGAAAATCGGTTAATTCTTTGGGTTTCTGAATAGTTATTTTAATGTTTGCAACCAAATGGTCGAGACTAAGGAAATTCATTACATTAAGTTTAAATGTATGATAGGTAATTTAGAGGAAATGGTCAAAAAGTATAATTGGAAATTTTACGGTGAAGGAATATGTAAATTTGTGGAACTAATGCCGTCATCATTTCAGATATGCTGTTCCAGATTACCCTCTGTCTGTCCCTGCGACGGTCGCCCCAGAGGATTTGAATACCCTTTTGAATACTCTTCTTCAAGAAACAACTAATTTATCCGTTCCAATCTCATTTAACTTCCTCATTGCCGCTGAGTTTCTTCGGTTGCCCCTTTCAGCGCACATAAACGATCATGGGCTCTCCACCGAAGAGGTCATTTCCATCGAATACATCGAGAAACATCCACCTCCAGAGCCCAAAAACTGTCTCATCCATGACGACTGGGTATCATCAGTAGCAGTCGCTGAAAAATGGATATTAACAGGTTGCAGGAACTCTCAAGTTACCATTAAAGTTATTGCCAGAAATAAACACCGAACTCGTTTACCTTGAGAATCATATCAGGAGATAGTATGAAAAGAAATAGAATATTATTTCTCTGATATTCTTAAAGTACGACTTGCTACGTACGTGAATTATTGGAAGAATACGAGGACTATATAGTTATATACATATTTCCGGCAATAATCAAATTTATTTGCAGCTTTATACAAGATCTTTTCATAAATTAAACTCAGAAGTGATCAAGGCTTCTCTGAATAAGCAAAGAATTCGAAATCTCAAGAATGTGATGTGCTAAAATCAATCCAAGACCAATCAAAGAATATGACGATTTGTAAAAATATCTTCTTAACCGCTGGACTGGTAGCAATCGTAGTAATCTACTTCATTTGTAATATGACTGATCCCGTGAAAAGTTTGACAGTTTTTATTTTTGAAGGTTGTTACGACAATACTCTCCATATTTGGACATCCAAAGGACAGCACAAGCTGACAATTCCTGGCCATACAGCACCAGTGAAGGCGGTCGCTTGGATCTCTCTAACAGGGGAAGTTGGGACTTTCGTTAGTGCTTCGCAAGACCAAACGGCCATAATTTGGCAGTGGAATATTCAAACTAATGCTGTCGACTGTGTTCATGTATGCAGAGGTCATGAACAAGGTCTTGAATCAATTGGAGTGAGCATAAATGCTGAGGACATGGTGACTGGAGGTTGGGATAACATGTTGAAGGTTTGGGAAGTAGTGGGGGATGAATCTGACGAACCTGAGAAGAAAAAGGCTAAAGTCGATAAAGGTAGAACGAGGATCCCTAAGAGGACCATGAAGGGACACAAGGAAGCTATTTCTGGAACTGTTTGGATGGACAATAATGACCTTATTAGTTCCTCTTGGGATCACACTATTAAAATTTGGGATGCAGAGTTAGGAGGAATGAAACATGAAATTGTGGGGAATAAGAGTTTCTTTGATGTGGATTTCTCGAAGATTGGTAGAGTTTTGGTCACAGCTTCTGCAGACAGACATGTTAGGATTTACGATCCTCGTTCTAATGGTAAGTAGCGAACCAATTGTGATTGGCATAAAACGTTAAATTTCTCCTAGATTCTTTTCTCTGAATTTCAATATAATATTTGATACTGTCAATCACTTATATTCGCCATATTTATTACTACCTCTGCTATTTGTACATATTATTGCAATGCTTGAATTTAAAGTATAAAAAGCCTGTACAGACCATTTTCACTGGAACCTCCATAAGAACCTCGAGGTCATAGGTTGGTCATTAACATTTCTTCACATATATAGAAGGAGACTTTTTGCCATGCAGTGCTGCTTCATCCTATCCCTCTATCATTATTTAAAAAACAATAAAATTGGGGGAATTATTCCAGAGGGCTCCGTCGTCAAATCCACTCTCACCTCTCACACCCAATGGGTTCAAACAGTACGCTGGTCCACGACGGACATCAACATGTTCCTTTCTGGTGGCTATGACAGCTGTCTGAAACTCTGGGACATTCGCAGGTACTGCCACTTACAATAAATAACAAGAACTTAGTTCACTTTTTATAATATTGACCGAATGAAAACACACTTTAGCAAACGAGATTATAGGAGAGTGGTCTAAACGAGTGGTTAAATCTCTCATGCCAAAACCATTTTGTCACCATTGCATGCCTGAAGCGTTAGTTTTTTGTACGAGGTGTTAAAATGTGAACGATTGGGCGAAAATGAATCTGGTACGTGAAACGCGTCTTTACATACATGACTGTGAAATGCACTTGAAATGAATGGTTTGCCCTCAAAAACTCTCCGCGTGGTGAACTCTGGTAGCTATCATAGAGAGTGTGGTGTTACACAAGCGTGCGACGAACAACCTTTACGCACTAGCAATAATATACATATTTTGAAAATTCTAAATAAATTTCAAAAAACTTTCCAATTCGAAGTTATTAATATATTACCACTCAGCTGCAGGAAAGAGTATAAATTAACCGATTATTTTAATTAATTTGTTGTAGCCATTTAAAAAAGTACTTTTGAAAAAGTCAAAAATGAATCACAACTTGTGAAATAGTATCAAATTTCTTCGACGAAATCTTTTATTCGTTATCATTCCAAAAATATAACGACATTATTACTTTTCAGTCCAACAGTACCACTTTATGAACTATCAGGACACGAAGACAAGGTTTTCTCCTGCAACTGGTCGAATCCAAAGCTCATGGTCTCCGGTGGGGCGGACAATACTGTCAGAATATTTCAATCTAGCAGTGCACTTCATTAAAATGTTTTAGTAACTTTTTTTAAGATTAAAATTTATGAATAAAGTTGATGATTTAGTTGATCTTTCGTTTTATGGAATTTCTTCTTCAATAGTCCTTCTATTCCTTCTATGATAAAAAGGACAAACATCGAGATTAACGATATTTGGAAAGTCTGTCACGCGCTCATTCCTCATTGATTCAGTCGTCGAAGAAGGCGGCTATTTTGAAATCACAACTCATTAAATTTAAAAAATTTTCAATGATGATTTTTATAATTACAGCGAGCTTTAGTCCGCGTTCGGTCTCGCGATTAATAAAGCAATGTATTAAATTGAAAACTTGGAAGCTGGTCCCCAATAAAGACCAGGTCAATAACGATAATCGATGGAAAAAAAGAAGAAAAAAACCAACAATTCTTCATTCTGTTTCTATTTTGTCATTTTAACTACAAGTCTATTCTCGTCAAAAAGAAAAAGAAAAAAAGATTTACTCCATCATTTTCCTTAAAAACTAAGAATACACTCTTCCACTCATACAATCTTCCTGCAACAAATTTACTCTCTATTCCTTTTTTTATTGTATTTTTTTTTTCATTTTAAAAACAATTAATTACGCAAAAATAACAAAACAAAAAAAGTGAAGAAGAGAAGTTTTTTCAATTAAAAAAAGGACTGTACAAAGAGCTTTCCCCTTAATTGTCGTAGAAGGCTCGTTTCAGTTTCGAATAAATATCCATTAAAAAAGAAAAATCGCAAATTGTATCATTCTCCAGCCGTCACTCAAATTATACGCTTATCAGTAATATTTATGCATTCATTCTCTTTTTTTATCAAAGAGAAACTGAAACGAGATCAATTCACGAGCGTGGGACTCTTCAAATCCACCATCACATCATCATTTTTCTTAATTTTTAATAGAATAAAACTCTTAAGCCGTTTTTTAATCTCTCCCCTGAAATCCTCCACCATTCGTCTATCTTCCTCTCTCACATACAATTGAAAAAAAAATGTATTTTAATTAATTCTAGTCATTCTCACCTTTTTAAAGATTACTTAAAAACACCCTACACTTCACTTAAATTCCTTAATTTTTCCTTAGTAGGTTTTTTTAAGCTTTTCAGATTTTTTTCTGTTTTTTTTTTAAATCTTTAACTACCTTTTTAAATCTTAAAACTAAGGACTAACGTCCCAATGGACTCTAAAATCTACAAAATTGGGTTTTTCATATTTTTTTCATCTTCATTTTCTAAAGTAATTCTGTCTCCTCACTGATTCTTCACTCACCTTCACATGAGATTCTTTCGCAGAGCCCACTTTTTTTTTTCTTTCTACAAAAATACAATAGAATTTGAAAGAAAAATGTCCCATGAATTTTTCCGTTCTAAATTTATAATGAAGTGGGAAAACGAATAGAGAAAAAGTGATTTGATGATGAATTATTACCTAGAACCCGTTTCTGATGAGCATCCTATATTTTAAAGAAAGTATTACATGCAGGCTCATTTGTCTTGTTAAAATGGAACTATTTATCCCCAATATTCATTGCGCACTCCACTATTCTAAAACTATGTTGAATCCAATATCCATTGGAAATTAAAAGAATTTGGAATCTGCAGAGTACCAACTAAAAGTAAAGTCAACAAATCAATTATCTATAAAACATTTATTCCGCCGAATTCCGCATGTTTCCTCATGTTATTCTATCAACTCATTGTAGAATCCATTGATTTGGATTCAGTCAATCATACCTTAAAAAGACTATAAATGAATTTCAATTATGGTCGATCAGCCCAAGTACCAGAACAGCGTAGACAGCGATAATTTATAAGTGAATAAATGTATCTCATAATGTCTCATTAGAATGTACTATCGAATTCGCCAAATAGAAAATTAAGTTTGTTACTCAGGCAACATTGAAAATGAAAACTCGTTAATTTTATAAACATAACAGACATAAAATGGAAATTATTTAACGTTTAAGGTATTATCTAAGTTGTGAGTTTAACGACAGAGTTTGGGTGTTTTATATTGACGGTCAGTGTCGCAGTTATTTCCACTGCTCTTATTTCTACCCCTTTCTTCGATTTTTCACAGCGGTAATTAATTACTTCGGGGATTTTGGTCGGCAGAGACGATCCCTGGAGGGTTCGTCATGACTTCGATTAACTGCCAACGATTTCTTAATTGAATCTCACTTCTAACTTTAAATGATACCTTAAAAGTACGAAAAGAATAACAGACTTAACAAAGCGTCTACATTTACAAATTTCAGAACAAATAGCTGTTATTATGTCAATATTCTCATAAATTAATAACCAGTCAATGACGACAGGCATGGTGCATGGACTGAACAATTTCATCATCTGCATTTTTTAAAAAATTCCTTTTCCCACTACTCAAAATTGTCTCAAGATTCATGAGTACTGAAAAAAAATGATTCGCTCATCGATATTCCATAATTCCATCTGCTCCGAGAAAACTTTTGAATGTGAGGATTTGCGCAAAACACAACTTGTCGCATTATCGGTTTTCATTCTCGTAGAAGAATGGTTATATTGATTGATTGATTAATTTTTTTCTTCAATTCATCGCGTAAAGAGGAGGCAGTCGTTATCCTAACTAAATCCTAAATACTATCTATCTTAAAATGAATCCTTAAAATCTAGGCATTTACTTAGTTATTAGAATCTAATTGAAGGGAAAAAACAATTACTCTTGTTCATTCTTTAATCATTAATAAATTATTCTAAGATCCCTAGCTACTCGCAAAAATTAAACGCCATTATTTTCCATTCTTTCCTATACAATAAAAGACGTTTTTCCTCATCATCTTTCATTACTCCAATGTCTACTATTTAGTTTGTTTCTTTTTTTTTCTTAAAAAAAGACCATCTTTGCGATTCCAGCGAAAAACTACATCATCCCATTCTTTTTTTCCTATTTCAGCTTTTGCTGCCCAAAGAATTTTTTGGTCATCGCAATTAACCATTAAGTTTATTACAAGATCTCTATATTTCCTTTACTTTTTGTTTTAGTAAAATTCTGCAAAAATTCACTATTCAATCACATGAGGAGTTTATCGTTTGTTTTGTTTGTTTATATCATTTTCTAAGACCTCCTAGATTTATCTCACATGACGCAGTCGTTTTATTATTTATTCTTTTTTGCAGTCTCAGGATATTGAATTAGTCGTTTACATTTATTTTTACGTTATATCATTGACTCCACTTCCTATCAACATTTCATCTCCTCTTTGTATCGTTATCAATTATCATCATTACCATCATTATCATTATCATCATCACCATCATCGTCATTATTACCATCATCATCATCATCAATTTATCATTTAAGTGACTCTCAAACGAGTACAGTATTCGGTACCTTAAAAAATATTTCGATACTCTTTTCTTTTTTCATTGATTTCCCTCTTTTCCACCATTCTTTGTTTCAATTATTATTTCTTCTTGCCTAATTAACTTTTTAAATGTCTCTCGGTCGATCAAACTTTATCACTCGTTCATTATCCATATACACGATCAAATTGTGATGTACCAAAATAAACTAAATATATTATTTACTTCAAGATTCAACAGTGTAAAAATCTTTCATACGTTTTTTGTCTATTTTTTTTTTGTTCTCCTTTTTTTCTATCCTTAGAGATGTTTGATGACTTTTTCACGATCCATATTCTTTCATTTTTCTTACTGTATAATAATAGCTGACGTTTATCGTTAGTTCGAAAGCTAGAAAAACATTGTCGGTACTTATTCCATTTCTTAATTGCTCATATCAATTATTTTTCAAATCTCAGAGGATATCTCGAAAACGGGAAGAGGTAGAAGGTTGGTGCTGGTTTCATCCGATACCCAGCGGAATTCCTCTTTCCACCCTCAAAAAATGTTTACCGCCATGTCCACAGAAATTACGATGTATAATAGATCGTTCGCCAAAATTTCAACTGAGAAAAAGAAATACTTCTGCTAATTAAATTCATTAGTGTTGAAAAAATTCGTGTGAGACAGAAATTCAAATATGAATTCTAGGCAGTTTTTCACCGCTCAGTTGTCTCAAATTTATTATTTTCGCAGAAGTATTATTTTTGTCAGGTTATCAGCGGAAATTTCCTTGGTTTTCTAGTGCCGCCCCATTTTAACATACAGTTACTGAATTTTTCAGATATTCGAGATTGAGTGGCGAAATTGATTCTACTTTAATTTTCTGTTCAATTATTTCTTCTTCCCTAAGTTTTAGAAATTATGGAAATTCTTCATTAGATTTTTCATAATTTTTCAATCCTTCTGTTCAACATTCGAAAAAACTATCTAGACTATTATCCCTCTCCATTTTACTACCGTCTTCTAATCAAGCATTCATACATTCTTACAATCACACGAAATTCATGCCTTCACTGAGTCTTGATTCAAGGAAAAAATCCATGGTTTTATTTGGTAGAAAGCTTTAATTACTCTTCACGGCTTATCAATAATTTCTTCATTTTTTCTGTGGGTTCTATAGCGAAATTCTTCGGCTCGATTAGCGCCGCTCAATCGTTTGCTGATCTCGATTGATTTCCGTTCAATTTTTAGAACTACGTCATCAGGAGGAGGAAGAAGGGAAGGTTGACCTTTTCATCTCTAATTTTTTTAAATATCTTCTGCTACTACATTTTCTTAAGTATTTTAGACTTTTTTCATTTAATTTTTGGTGATTTTCACCTACAGTTTCTTATGGTGAGTTAAAGAATTTTTTTTTTACCTAATAACTTCCTCAAATTTCTTTCTACCATAAATTCTACCGTAAAAAATCTAAATGTTGTAGTAAATCAATGCTTTATATGTTGTAAAAAATTATGAAAAATGGGTATGCTAGAGAGTTGATGTCGAAGAAGTCCTTCAGATTTTTTTTATTTTCCGACGTACTTGATATTTCATTTTACTTTAACAATTGGTAAAAATATAGTTCTCCTCTTTTTGCAATGCTTTCTCATTTCGTAAGTTAGTGTAATATTTTAGGGAATACTTTTTTTTTCTCCTCAAATTTAACAGAATTTCTGTTTTAGTCTTTCTCTATTTCTTGTATTCATCTGAAAAGGCACGATGATAAATAAATGGTATTTCACTGTACAATTAAAAATGATTTTTTACTTTATTAATTTATTAATTTTTTAAATTTCAGTGGTCATGTTGGCAACTTCCGCTTTTTCCTCCTCAGGTCTCTTCATGATTCCCTCGTACATGAATAAACCAAATTGTTCATTATGTAGAGTAGAGCGGCTAAAATGGTTCAAGTTATTGCAGCCTAATTTGTGAATTTTTGTGCAACTCATGAGTGGCGATAAAAATGTTTGAAGATTTTTTTTCCTAAGAGAATTTCATTTCCCACGGAAAAATCTTGTGACATTTTTTTCGTAATCACCCATGTTCACACATTCCGAAAATATGCTATAAAAATGTTCAGCTTATCTCCAGTTCTTTATACCACTTCACTACAGGCATAAGGAATATAATTTGGAATGTCCAAACTCCACATTAAAAAGGAAAATAAAATGGATCGGAAAATGTCGATTTTCACAAATAAAAAAGAAACGTATTCGGATGATTGAGAGGCGATGGAACGTCGACCAATCAACGAAATTCTACTTTGACATTCCTCTTAGGGTCGGCAGAATAATTACAAAATTCTCGTTAGGAAAATTATTCAATTATTCAAGATATCTCGATTCCCAGAATTTAGGACCGTTCGGGTCACTGACCTCTTTCGAACTTCATCCGTTAGAAAATGAAAAAAAAAATCGATCACACCGAAGAAAATTAAGAAAATTCCTACAAATCGAATTCTCTTCATCCCCGCTTTGTAATTTATTAATTTTGAGAAGAATGCAATACTGTGGAATCTAGTCAACGCATAAGCAGTATTATTATTCCTTTCACTAATATAACCGCGTCTTTCTTTCCGTTTGTAAAATATTTAATTCACGCATTTATCATCCGCACTTTTCTGGATCATTTTCGTTTTTTTCCATTGCAAACACGCAAATACCTAAATTTATCCTGGAAGCATAGCATCATCATGAAGTCGACAATTTCGTCTCGAATTCACTGATTCACCTTCAATCATTATTGGAAAAACAACCGATCATCACGGTCAGCAAAATATTCAAAACTTTCACTATCCATTAATCAATTAATGATAATGAAAAAAAGGATGCCACCAACTTTCATCTCAAGTCGTCCGTTGTTTGTTTTCAACTTTTCTAGTCATGTCTTTCTATTCATTTTCTTGTCACAACTTTTATCTACTTGTTGCAAAATATTCACTACTTTCATTCTACTGTATCTCCTGTGATTTTCCTCATCTAACTATTATTGTTCTTTTCTCCTTGGTAAAATGTATAAAAGGTGGCTGGCAAGTTATTTTTAAATGACAGTTTCTCCTACTCTCTCATCAGTATTTTTTTATCCACATACGAAAGAAAAATCATTCTACGAGCCATTCTTTTATTGTTCATCCTGATTTTTTAAAATGATATATAGCTTTTTGTCGAGAAAAAAAACTGCATATTTCATGTGTACAGTCGCCTCGTCTTTTGTTTATTTCATTTTTCCGGCTCGATGACTTCTCCCTTTCTTCGTTTGCTGTTCTAACTTACGTATCCTTCGGCGTAATCATACCTAAAAATTCATGAATATTATTTACGAAAATAAACTTTAGGGGTAAGCAATATAAATAATTCGTTGTGTCCACTTCATGCTAGAGGGAGAATGAATGAATATCCTTTCCATTATGTTCACATTTCCAAGGTTTTCTACACAATATTAGGTCAATTGAGATTCAGCAGGTTCACTTCTTTAGGGAATTCTTTTCATTTCAAAAGATTTTAAAATTTTTAAAAACTTTACATCATCCTCAATTTATTCCGAAATCTAAAAAAAATACATTTTTATCCACTCATATAATGTACGATACTTTTCGAGGGGAAAGACATTTAAATACCTCACAATCGCTTCCAGATTTATTGGATTATGACCAATATCTATCAATTTATCATAGTGCTTAGCAAAAAAATATATAAATATTGATAAGTTGTAAAAAATAACAAGATTTGGAATTTTAAAAGTAACATAAATCAGTCAGTGCCACCAACACAGTTAACGTGCGTCCTTATTAATTAGAAAAAAATCTATTTTCAAGAATTCATTCAACAAAGATTGTCGTTCCACCGGCCGCTGAATTGGAGGAGATTTGGGCAAAATTAAATAACGGTGGGAACAACCGAGTGTAAAAATCGATGTGGTAATACACGACGCCATAGACCCCCATTTTACTCAAAAAATATACTTTGCGTCTCCGATAGAACTTCAAAAGTCCGGTTTTCAATAATTTGTTCAATAAAAAAAAACAAAAGCGGCTGAAGCGCCGTGGGGTGAAGAATATATATGATTCAATTTGGCCTAATAGAATGCTTCATACAATAATGAAATGTGAACTTCTTTTATGATGGGAGCTTGTGAACTATATTCGATCTAACCTATAAACTGTGGCCTACTTGGGCTGCTGTGCCTGGTACTGCTGATAAGAGTCATCTGGTGATGCTGCATTACTCGTCTGTTCAGAATCTCCAAGTGGCATCGTGTGAATGATGCTTGGCGCTGGGTAGGTTGTGTACGGATAAGGATGCGGACTTGCTGTGATGTACTGTTAAAAGAATAAATGTTTAATTTAGATGATTACAATAACGTATCACGGAAATATAATGAATAATCATCAAATAATGAAATGCTTACCGAATACTCAACACAATTCGATTAATTGTCAAATATTCGAGAAATAAATTATTTCAGATGACGTCAAGAAATACTTCGTAAAGCCGTTCTGGCATGGTAAATTGATCATTCTTAATTCTACAACATTAATATATTCGGTACTGTGTAATCCTTATTATCCTTATTATAAAGGTAGAAACACAAAAATGAAGTTCGCCCGAGTCGAAATATCTCGAATCACGTAGGACTGATTCCTCATTGGTCAATTCGAACCGCCAAATTGAAATTCGGCGCACGGGGTGCGCAGTAGATCTCGTCCTTATTATGAAAGTAGAAACACAAAAATGAAGTTCGCCCCAATCGAAATATCTCGAAACGCGTAAGACTAATTCCTTACTGGTCAACTCGAACCGCCGAATTCAAATTCGGCGCACGGAGTGCGCAATAGGTCTCGTTAACATAGAAGAAGAATAATTTTGTCAAAGGCATTTTCCGCATAGTCTGCCTGTGAAAATATGTGCTACCAAAGATTGTAATAAAAAATAGCTATCGGTACGCGTGATTTGTTTGTCGACTTGCAATTGACTTTCACGTATTAAAAATAATTCTTCCGTGCTTATGCGGAAATATTCTATCTAATATACCACACCTTATGACAATAATCAAAGTTTATTTTATAACGCATTCTAGAAGGATATAGTTATGAAAAAAAACTTACATTGGTTCCAAGATGAAGCGTCGACATTTGTGTTGTGAGCTGTGGAATCATACTGTATTGCGGATTGCTGGGGTCAGCTGAGGGCATCATCTAATTCAATCAATGGTGAGATAAAAAAAAATGGTTAACTGTCATAATAGAGGGTACTTTTTCAATATTATTTTCTTTAATCGCAACTCACGTCAACCTGCTGCATGTGAGGCGGACCAGTTTGTAAAACGTATGGGGCGACCCATGGGGTACCTGGGACTGTATAACCGGGCACCGCTTGGCCATAGTGACGGCTATATTGGGCCAGTGTAGCTGCTGGTAACATATGAGCCGTTGGAACCCCGTTTTGTCCCACTCCAGATGTATCATAATTTAATGTCATGTTCTAAAAATCAAATGACAATCAATTCGTAAATTTTGAATTTTCTCTTTTATCTTTTATCTTATTTGTTTTATCAACTGTTAATTGAGTAGAAAAATTGAAATTTTTAAAGTTTCATCTCAATTACAACATCGTAAAAATCAACATTCGTTCGACTTGAGTTGTTCAAAAACAGGTACGGTCAAATCAAATTATAATGCCACCTCAAGGATTATTTTCACTCGGTATTGAAATACTAACATCGCCAGTTTCTCGCCACAGAGAACTCTTATAAGGTTTCTTTTTATTTCCTCCATCCGCAAATTTCACCAACAGTGGATCCTTGGAGCCTGCAAGTGCTTTCCCATTGAACATGGAGATTATTTGTTCACATTTTTCTTTCGATTCCATCCTAAATGATCAAACAAAACATTCATACAAATTAATTAAAATACATTAAAAGGTGGGGCTGCAACAGTGAACAACAATAAGTTTAAAATTCTCATGTCAATCTGTTTAAAATTCCGATGAGATATCTTTAATTTTTAATTTTCGCGTATTAACACTCCATTGGTTCCGGACGAGGTATGAACGGGGTAAATCATGCTCTAAATATTGAAGAAATCGTTTCAAATTTCTTATATTGAATGTTACCTTCAATGATATACAAATGATTAACGTTGTCATGTTTTTCTGGAAATTCAAGGAAAATCTTTGAAAATTTGAAAAAGGGCCCAGGCCCCATAACACGGTCCCCATAACACGCATCTGAGCCCCAGTCGAGAACTAATCAACGACACGAATGAAAAAAACCTGATCACAACAGCCGGTATAATATTTTGGCGTGGTGATGTTCAAGTTTTCAAGTTTGATAACTATGTAACACCAGGTCTAGACAAGAAACCATGAAAAGCAGTGATAAAAAAATCTCTACAATACATTGGAATAATTTTATTTGAACAAACCTAGCAAATCCAACTCCTTTACTCTGTCCGCATGCGTCTCTCAATATCCTAGTCGATATCACCTGTCCATGCTGAGCCAAAAGTCCCTCAACATCATTCTCTTTGAAATTCAATGGCAAATTAGCGATGTATAGATTGGTTGGGTCCTGCTCCTGTTGCTGAGGGGCAAAAAATAATATTCTATGCAAAAATTAGAAAATTTATTGCCTATGCGTACATTAATCAACCAAATCATCATATAATTTTTTATTTATTATGGAAACGAAAATTTCATCTATTTATATCTTTTAAAAAAACACATTATTATGTCTTTACTATTTTCAAAATTTTTAAATCTATTCAAGAGTGAACTAATCGAATCAGTTGGAAAATCTATGATGGTGTAGATGACGGAAAGGCCAATTGGGATGATGACTATTCAATTCATTTTCTCGCACGCAAGAACAAATATGTACAGCAGAACATTTTGTCTACAGAAAAGATGAATTTCATTTGTTTTTCTCCGTCTAGTTCTGTAAAGACCCTTTTCGCATGCCTTACGCTATCAATTACGTAGGTTTCCTTCAAAATGAGTCTGAAAATAATTGTTTTAGTCAGCGGAGAATTACCCGTAATCATACAAAACGTAGGAAGCAAATATGTTTGAAAGCGAGGAGAAAATATTTTCATGACTTGATCTTTTTTCGGAAAAATCCTCAGTATACCACAAAACTGATTTTTTTATAGTATCTGTAAGAAAAAGCAACTGACAGTCTCTTCTTGATAATTATTTCAAATTTATTTACACAATTAGCCAAAAGTGGTAGTAGTGGAAAATGGTATGAGTCGATTTCATCGCCGTAGATATGAGATTGATAAAGTCATAATAGGTGTCAGGAGCAAAAGTGGAAAAAGCACTTCTTCATCATTTCTCCGGCATTTTTTACGTATTATTTTGCTCATTTAGATGACGATTAGTGGAAATGCAGTATTGAAGAGTGAGAAAGATATTGATTCAACGATTTCCATAATGTTTGATTTATTTTTTATCAGGCAGATATTAATCTTGCATCAGAATTCCCGATTATCATCGTACAAAATTTTC